TGGTGAGCCTCCCTGTCGTGCACCGCTTGCAGATGTGGAGGCTGGTCCCAGAGAGTGAGAAACCTGCCCCCTCTCAAGCAGCCAGGAAGGAAAGCTGGGATCTAAAAGCTGGTTCAAGGCAACAAATACTGGTTAGGTGCCTTCTGGGTGCCAGGCTCTGCGTTGGGCACAGTTCTCTGAAATTGCCATGGTGGTGTTGCTTATTGCTTTAGAAAAATGACAGTCCCAGTTAGACCAGAATGGAGATCCTATCTTTGGTTTCTAAAGGAGAAATGTGTTCTGGAGCCAGAGACTGGTGCAAGGAATTGGTGGTGGGATGGGCAAGGTCTGAGATAGAGAGTGAGTGTAGGGAGGTAGAATGAGCACAGGCTTTGGAGTCAACACTCTACCACTAACTAGCTGTGCAGCCCCCAGCAAGCTGCTGAGCCCGGGTTTTGTCATCTCCCAACTTTGAATGGTTAGTATCTGCCTCAGGGTAGGCGTGAAGGGAAAATCTGATCACGTCCGTGAAGTGCTTAGTACAGGGCTTGGCACGTAGTAGGTCCTTGTCATGTGGTGGTGGTTATTCAGCGTATGGTAACTGCATTCTAGAAGAGAGATGTTGAAAGGGGCTTTTTGCCAATCTGCAGCTGTGAGGTACCTCATGGTATCTGCCTTTTCCCTGCTCCCCAGGCCAGCAGGTGGCCATTAAGAAGATCCCTAATGCTTTTGATGTGGTCACCAACGCCAAGCGGACCCTCAGGGAGCTGAAGATCCTCAAACACTTCAAGCATGACAACATCATCGCCATCAAGGACATCTTGAGGCCCACTGTGCCCTATGGCGAGTTCAAATCTGTGTAAGGAGCAGGGATGGGAAAGGAAGGCAGAGAAGTCCCTGTTCAGCGGGACCTGAAGTTTCTGAAGGGCAGCTGAACCTAATGTAAGGCAGGCTGGGAAAATTCCTGTGATTCCAGACCATTGTCCCTTAGGGCTTTGCCGGGGACAACTGGTTGCTTGAGAAGAGGCAGATGCTGCTGTTTTATAGACTCTTGGTATGTAGGATGGCCCATGGAGGACATTCATACAATAACCGCACTCTTCTGCTCTCATAGCAGATATCCCTGGTCAATCGTAGAACACTTTCTTACAAAAAATGGGCAAGCTTTCACAGTTTTCCGAGTCTTTCAGGCAGCCATGCCAAACAATGGAGATGGCCCTAAAACTAAATCTGTTGGCCAGCCCTGGTTTAGTCTAGCACCATCTTTTCTTTGATGGGGAAACTAGATCTAGGGAGAAAAGTGATTTCACTTAAGTTCATGGAAACGGAGAAAATCTAGAATCTTCATACCCTGCCATTGGCCTGTGTGGAATGCAAAGATGAGGCCATTACCTGTCGAGCTGGGAGCGTGTACTGAGGCTGGCGTGTGGGCGAGCTAGCCATGCCTGTCTTTCTTGTCCCCTCTAGCTATGTGGTCCTGGACCTGATGGAGAGCGACCTGCACCAGATCATCCACTCCTCCCAGCCACTCACGCTGGAGCACGTGCGCTACTTCCTGTACCAGCTGCTCCGGGGCCTCAAGTACATGCACTCGGCTCAGGTCATCCACCGCGACCTCAAGCCCTCCAACCTGTTGGTGAATGAGAATTGTGAGCTCAAGATTGGTGACTTTGGCATGGCCCGTGGCCTGTGCACCTCACCTGCTGAGCACCAGTACTTCATGACTGAGTACGTGGCCACACGCTGGTACCGTGCTCCTGAGCTCATGCTCTCGCTGCATGAGTACACACAGGCCATCGACCTGTGGTCTGTGGGCTGCATCTTTGGTGAGATGCTGGCCCGGCGCCAACTCTTCCCAGGCAAAAATTATGTACACCAACTGCAGCTGATCATGATGGTGCTGGGCACCCCATCGCCGGCTGTGATCCAGGCTGTGGGGGCTGAGAGGGTGCGGGCCTACATCCAGAGCCTGCCACCCCGTCAGCCTGTGCCCTGGGAGACAGTGTACCCAGGTGCTGACCGCCAGGCCCTGTCCCTGCTGGGGCGCATGTTGCGTTTCGAGCCCAGCGCCCGCATCTCCGCAGCTGCTGCCCTTCGCCACCCCTTCCTGGCCAAGTACCACGACCCTGACGATGAGCCTGACTGTGCCCCGCCTTTTGATTTTGCCTTTGACCGTGAAGCGCTCACTCGGGAGCGTATTAAAGAGGCCATAGTAGCTGAGATTGAAGACTTCCACGCACGACGTGAGGGCATCCGCCAGCAGATCCGCTTCCAGCCTTCCCTGCAGCCCGTGGCCAGTGAGCCTGGCTGCCCTGACGTTGAGATGCCCAGTCCCTGGGCTCCCAGTGGGGACTGTGCCATGGAGTCACCTCCGCCAGCTCCACCACCGTGTCCCGGCCCTGCACCCGACACCATTGACCTGACCCTGCAGCCGCCCCTGCCAGCCAGTGAACCAGCCCCTCCAAAGAAGGAGGGTGCCATCTCAGACAACACCAAGGCGGCCCTCAAAGCTGCCCTGCTCAAGTCCTTGCGGAGCCGGCTCAGAGGTCCCTTGCGGAGGCAGTGGCTGGCCAGGGAGTGGGGTTGCAGAGGGGTACTCTCAGCTTGGACAGACCACAGACTCTTACCTTCCTCCTGCCAACTTCTCTGCAGATGGCCCCAGCGCTCCTCTGGAAGCTCCTGAGCCTCGGAAGCCAGTGACCGCCCAGGAGCGCCAGCGGGAGCGGGAGGAGAAGCGGCGGAGGCGGCAGGAGCGAGCCAAGGAGCGGGAGAAGCGGCGGCAGGAGCGGGAGCGCAAGGAGCGGGGGGCCGGGACCTCTGGGGGCCCTTCCACCGATCCCCTGGCTGGGCTGGTGCTCAGTGACAATGATCGCAGCCTGCTGGAGCGCTGGACTCGCATGGCCCAGCCCCCAGCCCCCACGCCAGCCCCAGCCCCAGCCCATGCCCCAGTCCCAACGCCCAGCCCAGCCCAGCCCAGCAGTCCTCCTGCTGGCCCCCCAGCACAACCTGTAGGCTCCACCCCTGGTCCTGCACTGCAGCCCGCCTGCCCACCCCCTGGCCCCACTCCCCACCCGGCCAGCCCTCCTGGGCCCGTCCCTGGCCCTCCTCCACTCCAGACTACCACCTCTAGCCTCCTGGCCCCCCAGTCGCTTGTGCCACTCCCCGGGGTGCCTGGCCCCAGTGCTGTCGGTGTTCTGCCTTACTTCCCCTCTGGCCCACCCCCTCCGGACCCCGGAGGAGCCCCTCAACCCTCCACCTCAGAATCACCCGACGTGAACCTGGTGACTCAGCAGCTGTCCAAGTCACAGGTGAGAGGCTGTGAGGACACCTGGATCGGGGCCCTGGGAAAATGGGTTTGGGAAGTCCTTGCTGTTTGGCATGGATGGGGGATGGGAGAGGCTGTGGTGTCTCTTTATTCCGTGAGAACTGAGTGGCAGATGGGCCTTTATCTCTGAACTTGTTCTCTTGCTCTTAGAAGGAGCACAGTGCCAACGAACAGGTCGGTGGGAGACAAATAAGATGCTTCCTGGGAAGTGCGTGGGCTGGAGACAGGCCCTCGACCAGCGCCCAGTGATTGGCCAGGCTGGTGCTGTCACTCGCGCTCTCCAGCAGAGTCACTGGTAGCATTGGGATAGACTTGTAGAGCTCTGTCCGCTCTTGGTAGTGCCTGGCTTGTAACCTGTCATCATCCGTTGCAGGTGGAGGACCCCCTGCCTCCGGTCTTCTCGGGCACTCCAAAGGGCAGTGGGGCCGGCTATGGTGTTGGCTTCGACCTGGAGGAGTTCCTAAACCAGTCTTTTGACATGGGTGTGGCTGACGGGCCACAGGATGGGTAAGCTGCTGGACCAAGCTTCTGGAATGGGCCTGTGGGTAGGGTTTCCAGGTGCGGCAGGAGCTTGCCTGTGGGATGGGCAAGGAGCCAGCCTAGGCTAACAGTGCCTCTCCCCCTCCACTCTCCCTGCAGCCAGGCCGACTCAGCCTCCCTCTCGGCTTCCCTGCTTGCTGACTGGCTGGAGGGCCACGGCATGAACCCTGCCGACATTGAGTCCCTGCAGCGTGAGATCCAGATGGACTCCCCGATGCTGCTGGCTGACCTGCCGGACCTCCAGGAGCCCTGAGGCCCACAGCCTGTGCCTTGCTGCCAGGGGCAGACCCAGCTACAAGACTCACAGGAACATTTCCAAGGGCTGGAGCCCTGGGCCCAGCAGGGGAAAGCTCAGCTTCGATGATTCTGCAGGTTCATCTCAGACACACTCTGCAGCCTTAAGCAGCCACCTGAGCCACCGCCAAGCCATGGCAGGATCAGGAGATCTCTACTCCCTGAGCGATCCTTTTCAGTATTGTATTTTTTATTATTATTGTTGTTATTATATTAATATTGTGACACGATCTTTTTGCCATCCAGATGAGGCCTGTGAAATACAAGGTTTCCTTTAGTGCCTAATGCTAGTTGTCTTTTTGGAGTTGAGGGCAGGGTGTTGTCATAAGGGGAGCAAGGAGGAGCCGGGTCCTCACATTTGGGGGTCAAGCAAACACATTTGCACGCACAACAGCCAAAGCCAGTTCGTTCCGATCCTGAGGTTTTATTGAGCTCTTTGCTCCCCACCTCCTTCCAGCCCCCACAGAGGTTGTCCTCTGCACCCCCCACATGGTCAGACCTCAGCCCTGGGGCGGGTGGGGGCACCGCATAGCTATGCCTGCCTCGGTTGGGGCTCTTTTAGAGTAGCATGCAGCTGTGCGAAATACGGTTTTGGCATTGAGCTTTGGGGGCCTGGGGCAGGCGGGAGGGGGCAGCGGAGGTGGGGCTGGGGGTCTCTTGTGCTCACCACTGGGGAATGAGTTGGTGGGAGGGAGGCTGAGGACGTGGCCGCGGGGCGGGGGGGTTACTGGCCTGTGGCCTGGCACACGCCATGGGTATTGGTCAGACTATGCCAGCCCAGTTTAGCACGCTAGGGGGGGCTCCAGACGGAGGAGTCCACAGCAAGGAAGCTGGCTGAGGTGGAGCACAAGCCCAGAGTCTCGGAGAGCGGCTCCCGGCCCTCCGCCTTGGGGGGAGGGCGGAGGCAAGGAGAGTCCCATGGAGCCCAGTCAGGGCCGGGCCGGACAGCTGCGCCTTTCAGGGGAGGCTGGGAAAGCTGCAGGCCGCATAGCCGTGGGTGAGGGCAACAGAGGCCTGGCTTTGAGGTGGGCACCCTGGGTGTGACAGGACCTGCTGGGGCTAGAGCCACAAGGCCCCCTGCGGGAAGCAGGTGCTTAGAGAGCAACGGGCAGGGGCGGGTGGGGCCGGGGTGCAGAGGGAGCACTCATGGAGACCCGGAGCGGCCAGGGCCGGCTTGGGGCCTGATGGGGGCCAGCCCCTCAGGCCCGGCGGATTTTCATCTCGGTGCGCTTGAGGGAGTAATAGAAGCCCTTCCACTGGGCCCAGTTGATGCCATTCGCGTAGGAGAGGTGGGAGCCACCCAGGTAGAAGCCGTTGAGGTTGGCGAAGTGGCAGCTGCGGAACCAGAAGGCCCCCGACGAGAGGGCCGCGCAGTTCTGCACAAAGAGGTCCTGGTCCCGGTCGAAGGTGGAGAACTTCTGGCCACTGTGGTAGGACAGGGAGTCGCCTGGCAAGAGGGGAGGAGGGATGGGGCTGCTGAGGCGGGGAGCCGGGCCCCCGAGCTGGCAGGGAGGGGGGTGACAGGGGTGACGCCATGAGCGACGTCACGTGGCAGCCTGGCGGGATGGGGCGCCCTCCCTGAGCTGGCCGTCGGGTAGCTGAGCTTGTGCATGAAGAGAAGCAGCCGCTCCTCGCAGGGCTGCCCGGAGTGAGTGGACGCAGCTTTTCTGGGGGCCCAGGTCCGAGCTGGGTGGGAGCCAGCACGGCCCCTCCAGGCCGCGAGGGGGAGGGAGGGGCCCAGAGGGGGTCGGCGGGGGAGGGGGGGGCCCAGCGGGCAGTGCCAGCCCTGCCTTCTCCCCCGACGGCCCCTCGTTAGGCCCGCAGCTGGGGATACCTGCCCCGCCGTCCTCGAAGCCTGCCACGTAGAGGGTGTAGCCGTCCTCCTCTGCACTGACCGCGTTGGGCGAGATGGAGAATTCAGCGTACTTGGCGGCGGCCGTGTTGTTCTCAAAGTCCTCCAGGTCCACTCGCAGCTCGTACTTCTGTTTCAGCGTCAGGAGGTGCAGGTTCTGCAGCCCTGGGGGGCGGGGGAGGGGCAGCTGGTCAGCAGAGCCCTGGCTTGGGGCAGCCCCCGGGCCTTGGGCCGCCCCCGGCCCCACCTTACCCAGCCAGTACTCCCCGTCGGCGCGGCCGAAGCCCAGCTTGTAGTCGTTCCAGCCCCGGAAGAAACTCACTGAGCCATTGAATCTCTTCTGGAAAACCTGGAGCAGAGAGGATAGGCCTGGGTGATCAAGAGTCCAGGGGGCGGGAGCCTCACCCAGGCGTGGACCCTGTGATGCTGAGGGGGTTTTGTTGAAAGACTGAGCTGGCGCCTAGAGCAAGGCCCACGCCGGCCCCAGGCCCCTCAGTGAGCGGCTCCTGGGCGCCCCGGAAAGGCGGAGGGACAGCAGTGCTAGGGTACTGGGGCGGGCTGTGTGACCTTGGGCGAATTACTTCCCCTCCCCGGGGGCCGGGTCCGCGGGAAAGCATACCTGTCCCTCAGGATCGCTGTGAGGGTGCAGGCACTGACCTGCCTTGGGCACCTAGAGCGCAGCCGTGGTGGCAGCTCCCAAACTCTGCTGTGGGTGTCGTGAGCCCCGGTTTAGAGATGGAGAAACTGACGTGCACGGAGGTGGAGCTCAGTCCCACAGTGGGGACCAGACCCGGGCCTCCGTTGCGTCCGCCCACTCACCGTCCACTTGCCGCCCTCGGTGCTCATGTCACAGAACACGGGCACAGGCACACTGGGGCCCGAGGGGTAGATGAGGTACACGCCGTCCGCCTGGTAGCCCTGGGCATAGATGTCATCGCAGTCCAGGGGCTGCTGAAGGCAAGACTTCTCCAGAGCTGGGGGCGGGGGCGGGGGCGGTGAGGGCACAGCACCGCGACGCGACCGGCCCCCTCAGCGCCCTGCCGTCTGCCTCCCTCCCTGGGGTCCCAAGAACTCAGGAGATTTCCTCCAGGGGGGCTGCTCCAGCGTCGTTGCCACCTGCCCCGTGGTAGAGAGGAGGCGGGGATGGCATCCTGCGGGGGCTTAGCCCTGAAGCCTGCCTCCCAGAAACGAGGGCTCAGAGGAACCTCTCCTCCCCCAGCCTGTCGGCCAGGCTTACCATCTCCCCGGATCCCGGAGACCTGGGGGGCGCAGGGGGGCGTGGAGAGAAGCAGCAGCAGCAGCGGCAGGGCCAGGAGGGCCTGGGACGGACAACAGGGTCACCTCACCGCACCCCGCCACCACCCCCGGCCAGCCCCAGAGCCCCTTGCGTTCCGCTGCACATCGCTGCACTTGTCCCTCGTGCAAACCACCCCCTGCCGGGCACCCCTTCTCTGCCCTCTGGCCCCTCTTTCCGGGTCTGAGAAACCCCACTGTCCGGGGCAGGCTCGGGGCCCTCATAGCCTGGGAGTTCACGGCCCCCGTCTCCGGTAAGGGTCCCCTTTGTGGAGTGGGCTCAGGGCCCCGGTGCCGCGAGTCCCCCAGCCCCAGGCCCAGTACCTTCATGCTGCCGGTTGAGCTCACAGCGGCAGGGTGTCTGCTACCCCAGACGGCGCCCCAGACTGCACCCGCCCAGAGTTATGTGCTGGGCCCTGGCCAGCCGCCCTGGCCCCGCCCGCTGTCGCTGCAGAGCCCCCCTCTCCCCTCCCCCGGCACTGAACCGGCATCTGCTTCCACAAGTCAGGGGGGCCGGGGGGAGGTGGGCCCCGGGCCAGGGGACCACCTGCGTCTCATTAGGCCTGTCAGGGGCAGAGCACTGGGGACGTTCACTCCCTGCTGAGTCACACGGCTCCCTAGAGCCCCTCTACCACCCGCCCCCTGGACCTGTGGACCCCCTGGCTCCCCCAGCCCAGCCTCTGCTTCCTCATGCCCTCCTCCCTCCCCTCCACGAGGTCTTTATTTTCTCCTCCCTTGGCCTGTGTTTCATCAGCCTTTGGGGGAAGGCTAAGGAGTGGTGGGGAGGGTGTGCGCATGCCTGGGTTCTGGGGAGGGGGAGGCCCATTCTGGGGGAGCAGAAGGCTGGGGAGGCCGCCTCCGAGCTCCTGATGTGGGAGCCTGTCTGGGGGCTGGAGGGGGACAGGGGCAGCGGGGGCCAGGCAGGCTCCTGGCAGAGCTGGGACATTTCTGAGCCGTGAGCACAGACTGCAGGCGTCCAACTGCTGTCTGCCCCAGCTCAAGCCAGGGCCCCTCTCCAGCCCCCTTCCAGCCCCCCTTGCTCTGGCCCCTCGGGCCCCCTCCTTTCCCCTCCCGCAGAGTTCCCCCGGTGATGTGCCTGGCTCGCATACCAGGAGCCGGGGGGCCTCTCTCCCTTCTCTTCACCTCAGCCCACCCCCCTTCCTTCTCTCAACCTCTCCCTCAGATTCCCCACTAGACCCCTCTTAAGTAGTGTCTCATTTTCTCAGCCCTGAAAGCCCACCTCTTTCCTCCTGCCCCCACCAAGCCCAGGTGCCCTCCTGTCCGCCTCCCAACCTGCCCTGACGCCCGTCTGCTCCTCTCCTCGCTTAGCTTCCAGGCCTCCGTAGAACCTTCTCAGGGTGCTCATTGTCCCCAACCCCTTCGTGGATGTCCCTGCTTCTCTTCCCTCCCCCTCCATCCATCCCCTGCACAGGCTGCCGGAACAATCTTTCTAGACGGCTGCCCTGTCATCACCTGCTTAAAGTCTCTGGTGGTTCTCCGCGGCCTCGGGGCTGAGGCTCAGCTTCTCACCTTGGACTTGAGAGGAATTTTAAGTCTGGCTTAGGCCCGCCCTAGGGACCTTATCCCAGACTGCTTGTGACTCATAAAGTACAATCTAGCCACACCAGATTTCTCACCATGGAGCGCCCCCCCGCAACCCCACGCCCCGCCTTTGCCTGCTCAGTTGTTCCCTGGGGGGCCCACCTATTGGTCATCTCTGCTTGGCTGTGAGTGCAAATGGGCAGGGTCAGCGTCATTCCTGCACACTTCGCGCACGTCCCGGAGCCTGGCACGCGCACTGATTCACAGATCAAATGTCTTTTGAGCGCCTACTTTGTCCTGGCTGCTGGGGATCCAGTTTCTGCCCCTGAGGAGTGGCAAACACAGGCATTAGACACTTGGTTGCAAATGTAACATTGTGCCAGCACCTCTGTGGAATGGATGAGCAAACAAAGTATCCAGAGGCACAAAGTAAGAAAGAAAGTGGCTCTGGCTCACGTCACCCCTAAATCAATAAGCCCCTCGCGTGAGCCCAGGCAGCTTTCGTGACTCGGTTCTCTAATTGACGGTAACAGTTGTCTGTCTCCATAGTTGTGGCACGTCCTGGGGATTCTGGAGCCAGGTTGCCAGAGTTCAAGTCCAGGCTGTGCCACCCGCTAGCTGGGGGGCCTCGGACAAGTTCTCTCGCCTCTCCGTGCCTCAGTTTCCCCCTCTGTAAAATGCGGATAGTCACAGTATCTCCTCCAAAGGGCTGGGGTGAGGATGAAGGACTACATAACCTACAACACACAACTATGCCTACGATCGGTCACTGAAAAATATGAGCCGTCTCATCATCAGAAACCTCGCGATTGTTCCTTACACGAACAGATTGTCTTCCGTGTGATTTTTATCCTCGTCTGTGGAAGAGGTAGTTGCCGGCATCGCGATATCCGATTTCCCTCAGTCCTAAGTGGTGTGGCTGATTGTCCAGCCTCCATTGGTGGGGCCACATGTCTGAATTTTGGCCAAGAAGCTGCAAACGAGAAGTTTTGTAAAGGTGGGGAGCTATTCTGTCTTCTTCCTGCTGGGTTGTCCGGTTGCTGGGCGCGATGGCTGGAGCTCCAGCTGCCACCTTGTAGAGTGAGGATAAGGCCCCATCAAGAGATGGTAGAAGGTGGGTGCGCCTGGCTGGCTCAGTTGGTAGAGCATCTGACTCTTGATCTCGGGGTCGTGAGTTTGAGCTCCACGTTGGGGGTAGAGATTACTCAAAGAAAAAGAGATGGCGGAGGGTGCTCAGGGAGGAGCTGGGTCCCTCAGGACCTCGTGGAGTGGGTCCAAGGCCAAGCTCTGGACTGCCCTTCCCTAGGCCTCACTTACGTGGAAGAGAAAGAAACTTTTATCTAGCTTAAGCCTCTGTTGGTTGTCCCCTGTTCCACACAGCTGAATCTAATCCTAATACATCTCTCCTTTCAGCAAATACCTGCTAATTTTAGCACCGGCTACGAATAGGAAAATGACAAAAAAAAAAAAAATCAGTCATCAAAACAAATAATAAAACGTGTAGAATACAACTAATAAACAAATGTAGGAACACAAGAGAGAATAAAGCAATGAGGGATCAATCAGATTTTTCCTATCAGTTGCTTTTCTTTTTCTCTACGCAGGAATGTATGTAGGTGTGGCAAAACAAGCAGTCTGTTCGCTGGGTGTTCTTGAGATTTGGTTTAACTCTTCAGGGAAAGAAAGAGGTTTGGTGACACAGCCCAAGAGTCAGGAACACCTCTTTGAAGATGCTGTCTGAAGGAAATACTGTGACATACTGAAAAACTACATGGATTTGTCAGTGGACATATTTGTTGGCTGCCCGTGGTGGGAACCTTCCCGTGTTTGGAGGTCCCCCCGCAACTGGAAGGCAGGTGCTTGCTCTCCCAGGCTTGCTTGCCGGTCTGTTGAAGACACGTGACCTTGGAGTAGCCAATCCAATGCATTACCCTGGGCTTCATTTTGGGAGAGAACTGATAGAAGAGGCAGGAGAATGCAGAACTCACTCTTGGGGTGGTGGTGACCCCAGAGGCGTCTGGCTTCTAGGTTCTCTGGCTGGTTGGTGGTGACTTTGCAAGCACAGTGCTGAGTCATAGTGGCTCAGGCTCGGGCTGTAAAGCCCTCAGCTTGGATCTGCACTCTGGGCAATTGCTTTTCTCTGCCCATGATCTGTTTGAGAAAGATCCCCCCTCTCAGGGGTGAAGATATTTATATTAGGGCCTTTCCACTGCCAGCAGACGCCACCTCTGACCAACTCTGTTGGGAGGCTTGCAGGGCCTGGGAGTTGTGGAGAACTAGCTTGACTGGGGGGGCGGGTGGGAGCGGAGGCTGCCCCGAGCCTCTGGGAGGCAGGTCCTCCGTGGTGGTCTCGTAGTGGGGACAGTCTGTCAGGGTGATGCTGCTCACTGGACAGGCCATGTCTTTGCTTGAGAGCCAGGTTCCCGTAGGTGGGGGGCACCCGTCCCACTGGCCTTGGCTTGGGTCACTTGCCTGCCCACTTGGCATTTGCCTCTCTACCCCATCTTTCTCTGTCCTGCTCTTGTGGCGATGTGTGTTCCCATGGCCCCTGGCTTCTGGCAGGATTTGGCCGATGGGAGGCACCAGCAGGAAGAGAGAGGGTGGGGTGTTTCTCCCTGGCTCCTATCATTCCCAGGGCAGTTTCAGCAATGGCTGTGCCCGCCTCCAATTACAGCTGCTGCCCTAACCCCCTTCACTGGCCCCTATACCTCCATTTCCTCCCCTTACCCTGCAGCCTGGGATGGTAAGCCCCCCTCCCCCATTGCTAGTCCCAGGGTGCTCCAGCATCCCATGCTGGCTTCCTTAATGCCCACACCCAAGTAAGTAGTCCCTTCATTAAATTCCTTACAAACGAGACAAAACAGCCGAGTCTGCCTTTGTTTCTTGCCAGGACCCTGATTGCCCCAAGCTCTTACTTTGGTTTCATCCTAAAAGCCCAGCAGCCCGTGGAATGTCTTAGACAACAGCTGAAGACAAGACCTCCCCGCTGTCTCTGCAGGTGCTGGGCCAGCATCATCCCCCCACAGAGATAGAGAGAGAGAGAGAACGCGAGCAGGGGGGAGGCAGAGGGAGAAGCAGGCTCCCTGCTGAGCCAGGAGCCAGACGTGGGGCTCAATCCCAGGACCCTGGGATCATGACCCGAGCCGAAGGCAGGTGCTTGACCATCTGAGCCCCCCAGGCGCCCCCCATTGACCTTTCCTAACTGCCCCTCTGCTCCTCACCCCGCCTTCAGCTGAGCCAGAAACCACTGAGGAGGAGAGTTTTCAAAGGGAACTCAAGGAGGGGAGAACGGGTGGCCCCCAACCCAAGTGAGGGGGCTCCCAGAAGGATGAAGCTGTTTGCTAGGAGAGATGCTGGCTGAAACAGGCTGCTGCTGCTGCTGCAGCAGGCGGCAGGTGGGGGGCAGTTGGGAAGAGGGCGGGGCCCTCGGGGCTACCAGCCGGACCAGGATGTGTCCCTTGAGCACCTACTAGGACACACCGGGCACCCTTTAAGCCCCATATAGGCAGCAGGGAGCAGACACATCCTCAGCTCTTCTGGAGCTAGAGAGGGGAAAATAGTGACAAATAAGTGAATGATGACAAGTAGTGACAAAGAAAGGGGGGAGGGGGCCGAGAAGAAGGTCATGGTGAGAAGGGGTGGTGGCTGGCTCAGGGTCCACGGTCCAGCATGAGCTTTCGTGGTGGGGGACACGTTCCTCACTCCCCATATTTCCCTTCCTTGTAAAGGGTGAGATGAGGAGGGATTTGGTGTCGGTCCCCACTTTTTTGGGTAGTTTGGGGCAAGTT